TTTATCTTTTCTGTGGCAATTATATATCATTACATCTGACAACAGATTAAATAGATCAAGCTTCCAGTAAGCGGGGTCAAGGCATACCTAAATTCTAAAATTCCCGCTAAAACATTTGTCACTAATAAATTTTGACATTGTAATAAGCGCGCGAGTTTTGACGTTGACAGAGCTGAGCACATTAATAGTGACATTATAAAATCGACTAAGCTAAACTTGTTTCTTTACTAAATATACATTTGGCAAAGGTACACGCGTACATACAGCCAAGTGCATTAGTTTTGCATTAAGCCAATGACTCCACAACAATGAACGATAATAATATCGGACATGTTGTTTAGATTCATAATTATTTGGCAGTAATCGATAGTGTGTTTAAATTTATTATTGTAGCTCTGTCCTTAAATAGCTAAATCTATTAATCTGTCTTTGAATTTTAGTATTCATGAGGTTTGAATCATTTATTAAAAGCTTAAACGGAATGCTATTTATGGGCTCGACTAGGTAATGCTTTGCTAGGTCTGCGTAAATGCCAACTAATTTTAAGATCGTGACACTTATACAAGGAGATTACTCATAACATAATATGACGCCAATTCTTCGGTAAATTGATCTGTACCTCTAGGTAATAGAAGCGGTATTACAAGACTAGGAAATTTATTCGTATAGGCTGCTGATCTAACAGCGTCTTAGAATACGCGCAAAAGAGTTTCATATCTCAACTAAGTCTTGTCACTTTACAGTATTTCATTCAGCATAGTTTTCATACCAAAAGTATTGATTCAAACTACTCAATCAACTTTAAAATTCATTCATTTTTCCTTTCCACCCAGTTCCTGGAAAATATCTCCAACTCTTCCATCGGCATGTGTTCACTTACTGACCCAATGATGGACGAGTATGGTCTAAAAAGGAAATCCTACTTGTGCTCGCAACCGATACGCGAGGCTACCGACGCATTTATAACTACAAATTGTAGCCATTACAATTATTAATGTACTTTATTTAGATCATAACTCATTAGATTGAAATATTAGCTGTGAATAAAAATTATTGTAATAGTGAATATAGTAGAACTAGTAAGGAGTAAAAGAATATTTATAAATCGAGACGTGGGAAGGAGAAGGAATGTTTTTGCTCCTTATATCTTCTTCTTATGCGTATACGCAGTAGTAGCGCTCTTGATTTTCGAGTGTCTATCTAGAAAAAATCAGAAGTTGAGAAATGTTACAACAAACCTCTTTGGTTGCTATGCTCAAAATAATAGTAAAAAACTTTCATGTTTAAGTACGCACTTTACCTCTTTCTACCGATTTTAATCAATTTCTAAGCAAGCTGTAAATAGTAGTGAAAGTAGTGTAGGCACTTACAAAGTTTCCAGTCATCTCGTCAATGGACGCGGAGTCGAAGGAAAACTTGCTTCCTCATCACGAAGTCAAACTTCTAAGAATTCTGTTTGCTGCCTGTTTTTTCCGAAATCAGAAATAACAAAACCAATTTACTTTAACTTCGAAACTTATTTATTGTATTTTTCTTCTGTAATATTTTCTATCAATACATCATCTCTTGTTTGCTAAACAAAGTCATCGACCTCGTCATGAAAGGCAAACAAAACTTACAAAAATACTGAATAATGAACATTTTGAACAACAGCTGCTAAAAAAACACATAAATCATACTTTTTCGTAATAATACAGTGGAAGTAAACTTTCGGATGGATCGATGTAATATATATGTACAATTGACATTGGTGTTGGTGGAGCGTGGGTGCGTAGGCGCCGGTCATGGGTCCCTCGTTACCGAACCGACCTTTGCAGGTGTTAATTGCGAAACTTTTTTTGCAAAAGGAATAACCTAAGTGCAGTCACGACACACGGCAAGCTGCAATTTGTATAAACTAACGTGTCGTTCTGTCATTCATCCTTTGTAGTAAATTATTAGTCTGCATCAACGGTGAGTACAGTGACAAATTGCCACTAACTAGTTAATTGATGACGACTTTGCACAAGGTGGTGGCGTCCTACACGTTATTGCAACAATTTTTATTTATATTCACTAGGATTGTCTCAAAGATAAATTCAATAAAAGCCCTCTCTGAAGTGTAAACATTACTTTGTGTCACAGTAATATTGATATTATAAATTCTATGTAGACTTCAGTGGATTAGAATACAACGGAGGATTCGTGCAAGGTTAACATTTCGAATGATTAGGTCGAAGACTTGCAATGCATCACATAAGTGGTTCTCAATCAAAAATATCGAAGTTATTTCCCATCATCCGGCGGGTCATTGACTCAATCAAATCGAATGGAGCCTGCGCCTCTGCGAAACAGAGGTCGACTGTCCGAAGCTATCTCCGCAAAGGGTACCGCAGACTTCCTTCATTGAGGGTCGGTCGCGAACAATCGCGTGAAAACCCCTTATTATGGTAACGGCTTTTCAAGTTCCACGTGTAAATAGCTTGTTTGTACACAGTTACGACTGTTTGTTAGGTCGTTTACGTTCGTACGAAATGCGAAAATGTTTCTTTGACGTCCGACAGAAATATACAAACGTTTATGTCGCATTGTCCGGTCCATGATGTGTTCAAGCCAATCAGAAGGCTTTTGTTGGCGTCGGCTTAGATCTTTCAAAGGACAAAGTCCTATAAACCATCAGCCAAGTACACATTTATGTGATCAAAAGACCAAACTGCTAGCGTTCCTTTTTTAGCCTCTATTCTCAATATCCAGACCTGAAGTCAAACAACGTCTTTGTGTTCCATCTGGTACACAAATATTTCCAAATCATCCATTTAGTAACAATATTCATTCAGCATTCATTAATGTTTGTGTATCGCCTTGTTTCATTTACATTACCTTCACCTGACTGAGATTTATTTCTGTTATTAAACTGTCTTCATTGTTATCAGTTTCTGTATATGTGTACGTTTAAAAATATACTTTTAAAAGCACCATTTTTTATTAACAATAAAATTCTTTAGTTGGAGTCCGTGCTGCGTACAAATAAAATGAAACTGTCTTAATTTCAAATTAATTTAATGTCAGTAAGCAATGTAATGACACAAACTAATCCTCTTTAGCCAGTGTGTCATAACAGTTGGTACAAATTGTAAATTATTTACATCTGCACTGTCACGTTTATTAAAATAAGAAAAAGTATTTACTTCTGCCAGTCAGTGGTGCAGTCCATTAATCAGCTGACTTGGAATTTCACGCATTGCGCCCGCACATCCCGCTACTGAAAGTTTTACGCTGTATTTTTTATTTCCAACTTCGTATTGCATCGTATTTTTGTCTCAAATGAAATAAATGTCCGTTTCCAATGAATTTTACTCAACGACGAAATTTTTTACGAATTTCGTTTCCGAATTACGTCAAAAGAAAAAATCCTAATTTTAAAATGGGTATGTTTCACTCTGGTACATAAACTGATACAAATTTTGATAATTTCATTAGAAAAATACTTCCTTCTGTACAATATTGTAAAACAAGATCAAAGAATGTAACATCAATAAGTTTTTGACGTATCTCTAAATAACACCAATTAAACTGTATCAGACTTTTTTCTGGATATAATTCCAAGCATTTTATTCTCGAGTTTTTCCCCTAAGTGTTTCTGGCAATGATCGGGCGCCGGCGGAAGTTAGGATTGGCATCCCGGGCGACCACCTCTCGCAAACAAACCCATCTCTGTCTGGTCTTTAAACAGCTCTTTGACTACAGACTATATGACTACACGACACGTTTTAAGAAATTATTTCAATTGATCTTTTTGTCCAAATGAATGGATTCTTCTGTAATTGACTATACTTTTGTTTTTTAATTTAATTCGATATGGTTGTCACCTTTTGTTTATAGCGTCAGTATTGTTGTTCTCATCTATGATGTTTTCTATACTTGTTTATAGTTTTTTGTTACGGTTTCTACGTCCATACCATTCATGTCCCATATTTCCCGCAAAATTGTAGAGTTTCCTGTGTTTTCCTCACTTTTTTGGTACGTCATGTCCAATTTTAAACTTCATATTCTGCACGTCAAATTCAGAATCATCAGTCGACTCCAATAAAAGAACAAATTTGTTTTCGCTAAAAGTTGACGTACTGTGACGACTCCCGGTTGATGAGGCCGGTTCTCTTTTTTGTATCATTAATTTCTGCAATGTCACTTTTAATTGCCTCAAGCTCGCTCTAAACAACATACTCCACCTATTTTTTATTCTACTCATTGGATGTTGTTTTTAAATGTTTAGAAATAGAAAGGTCAATGTGTATAGCTCATCATTGAATATTCTTATGACAGTATTTTCGTGAGCAGTGTTCCATGACAACGGCAACGTACGTGTAGTGCAACCTTGAGCCAGCCGCACATAGAGTCGAGTAGCGACTACTCGACTAGTATTTCTCTTCAGTGACGCCCTCACTACGCCTGCTATTATTAAACGAGTTCATTGGAACATCTATTTGCGCAATTTGTAGCATCGCATCTACAGCATTTCGATGACCTTACTGTGACTGCACGGACTGCATAATGCAGTGATATTATTGTGTGTTGTATAAGTACACAGCGCACACTGCACCGACGTTGATTTCACTAATTGACCATTGATCTCCATTTCAAACGCTTTATCAATGTAGTCAGTTGAACTCAGGCTTCCTAGAATTTATCGTATCTCTCCTATAAATATAGATTACCAATTTAAAACTACAAGTTTCCAAGTTTCATGGGCTTGTTTTTCAATTTCCCAGCCTTGTTTCGGACACGCTAAACTACAGTCACACTACTTGTTCGAATTTTTAGTAAGTACAGGGGCGCCTTGAAGGAGTGTGCGTGGCGCATGCGCTCTCGGTGTTTCTACACGCGCTGTCCATTCACTGCGCAACCGATGCGTCCAGCGGGGCACCGCAATGCTTTTGTTCAGGTTAATATTCAGGCTGACAGACTGGCTCGCGTCTTGGACGGGCTCGATGAGATTTTAAAGTCAAATTGGGTATGAAACTTTAAAATATGTTTGGATCTGGTGTGGTGGGTTGGCGGCGCGGCGTGTCGGTGTAGCGCGGCTCTGTGTCGGCTTGTCGGCGCGGTGCGAGTGTGCGCGGGTGCGCGTGTGGTGGTGAGCCGAGGCTCGTCGCGGCGCGCCCGTCAGTCGGCGGCGGCGAGTCACGCGCGTCGTCTCGTACAGCTCTCTCCGCATTGCGCTGCACTTCGCGCAGCACACCTGCCACCGTTCAGGCTTTGCCGGCTCTCACGCTCTCGAGCGTGGAGGTCGTGTCGACCTCGCGCCTCGCAGTTTCGGTCCTCCGCGGTTTCACCTCGCGCGCCGACTGATGCCCGCGTCGTCCACTCCACTGCAGCGGTAGCCGCGGTACTATTGAAACGTCTGTGCTGGTGCGTGCCGTGACTCCGGCTGGCCCCAGGCCGCCGCGTGCTGTGACAGTGAAATCGTGAGTCTCGCAGTATCGTGCGGATGTGCAGTGATGGATGAGTAGACAGAGGCCAGTGTGTGCGCGGACCACCACCGACTCGTCTGTATTTCTGGCTAAGTGCGAAAGCGGGTCGTCAAAATTGAGCCCAAACTGTATCTAGGTAGGTATCATGACTTATGACGGATGAATAAAGTAGTGTAGCCAGTGAGAGCTGCTGGCAGACCGACGTTGAATATTTATAGCATGCAAGTTTGAAAGTTGTTGTGGGTAAGAGGACGGTCGGCTGCAGTCGGCTCTGAATGACAGGGACGCTCAGCTGATTTGTTTTCTCACGCAGCAACACCTCACATCAATTGAGCTTGTTGTGACCAATTATGGTGGCATTTTGTTCCTCGTGATTTAGTGATTATGTAGGTATAATGCATTCAGCGTTATTTGATCGTAGTGCGTGAAACAGAGAGAGTCGACAGCGGTCATCACGACACAGGATACACGTGTTAGTGTTGCGCTACTGTGTTCAGCATTGCAATTACACAAATATTTTAACTCCCCACAGGATGCTTTCTCTCTTAGTTAGCTGTTCGTTATTCTAGTTTTGTTCATTTGTCATTACTCACTGAAGACATTTTTGTTGGTTATATTTGGAAATTTAATGTGTAATACATGCTTTAATAAATACAATTTCAAATTATTCTGATCCGGAATATTTACAAAATCGCGTTCGCGGAGTTATTCTAAAAATAGAGATTGTATTTGGAACACGGCGAACACACGCACCTTTCAAATATTTCATTGAACTTCGCAACCTACCCACTATATTTAGCTGTATGGAAATTAAGTATGCAATAAGTATACAATATTGCACAACGTAGGTTCGAGAGGTATTTCAATAAATTTTACAGTTTGTTCGATTCGCTTCCTAATATTGGACTTAGGTCAACAACTTGCAATGTAAATAGCTTAGTCTTAGCTTTGCAAATTGAATTAGTAAAGCCAAGTCCATTGCAATGGAATTATACTAATGCTTTCATTGGATAAACGGATCGCTTGCACAAACATCGATGTTTCTGAAGTAAATCCGACTCAAAGGACCAGATGAAATACTCTGATAATGAAATGTTAGAAAGTAAAGAAAATGTGATGGAAATTTATTATTACATTTCAATAGTTCGAATGGAGTTAAAGATAACATTAATGCAGAAATTGAAAAATGTGGTCCTAATTCCCATATTTTACAAAATAAAACCGACAAAATCAACTCTCATTTCAGTTACAATTAAAATTTTGATTTCAAATAATCAAACTTGGATTTCAGACTGAAATTAAAACAATTTTGCTGTAAAGTTATTAAATTTGAATGCTGTTATTGTTTGTTTCTGATTATAATTATTTTGAAATACTTGCTTTACTGTTACTCCAAAAACTTTTTCTTTGTTCAAAATATGAAATCTTTTGAGATTCGATTTTGTTTTTGAAAAGACAGCGATTTTGATATGAAAGATAAGGTGATTTTGTTCCGTGATTACTTATTATAATTTTTCTAAACGTGTGTGATTACTATACGGTATAAATCAAATCAAAAGTCCGACTGGCGTTGGCTATAGTTCAAAGAGTAGATAAAAATGTGCCAATATGAGAAGCAGGACAAGGCCGCGCCCTCATTCTCTGCGCGGGAAAACTGTGGATCGCGTAATAAACTCTCAATTGTGAATTCATACACGTCTGTAAAGTAACATGATATTTTCTACTCTTTGATCGAAAGTAAGTAAACGTTCGCATATGAAGTTATGGATTTTGACTTAAATAAAGAGAACCCCTCTTTCTTCCCTTTCACGGTTGCTCAGAAACGGATAGGCAATGGCGAATTGACCTTGCGTAAAAGTTCACTGTGACGATACATTAGTTGTGACCTTTATTTTGTCATCCATTCGAGCGTCCTTTAACATTCACACCCAACTTTGCATAACTATACAATTTGTTAATTACATTATATAACTTGATAAATTAATGACAAAGCAGAAGAACCATAGACGAACATAAAGTTCAGAAACCAAGACAAAAAAGTTGTAATGAATGTTGCGTGCGTCATAATGAGGAAATCATTAATATTATTTTCCTTGTTTAAATATAATTATCTCGAAACAAATAAACCGTGTTTGAACCAGACAATACACAAAACACAAGCAAGCCTCAAACACATCAGATCAAATATTTGAGGTGCGGGAGCCAATAATCGTCGAGTTTAGCTTCTTCTAGTCGCACTGAAATCTCAAGTACATTGCACTGACACTCATTATCACTTAGAAGCGTCAGGGCCGTCAGTTGCTTGTGTCAACAGCGGCCGATTGCAGGTGCCTGAGAGGTCATTCACCCCGCACGCCGCCGATATTCGGATACTATACCACCCATACTTATAGCGAGCTATACGATAACGGGCCTCAGTCGGACGCGCGACGGTCGACACGTGTCGTGCTGGAAACAAAAGGGAATTCGAGGCATGTCGCCCAACACAACCACGACTTGATCACTAATTTGATGTCGCGAATTGATTTTAAGATTTATTACTTGGTGTCCTTTTTGGTCCTTTGAGTCAAACCTCAGCTACGAAAACAATAATAATGCAATGTACATTGTTTTTTCCCTTATCTGAAATCGTGATATAAATCCACCTCAATATAAGTTTCTGCAAACATAAAGACCTAATAACTTACTTTCAGCTATCTCCCCTCTATCATATCACTCCGATTTGATCGATTGCTCAAGCGGAATGGAAAGTTTGAATTCGATTGTAAAAGCAATGCACTGGGGTACATTTGACCAACACTCGGGGCATAATCGGGCATTGCGTATCGCACGTCCGTCGTAGGGAACAGGGGACAAATCTGGGACAGAAGCCCGGTTATTTCGGTACTTGAATTGGGGCGGCACGTTAAAACATCGGGGTTTCCGAGTCGTGGGTACGATGAAAACAAATAGTTACACGCCACACCTGAGTGGGCGTTTTTGTGTCACTCGATCCTCGACTCTATGCCGGGGGCGTAGGAGTGAGTGACAAAGTCGACGCCACCACGCCGACACTCGACTTATATTAATGGTCGAAATCATAAGACATTGTCGGACCACTAGGATGGATTAGACATAGTAACTTTTTTACTGTTGAGGCCTGATTGGATCATTTTTTTCTTTGGAGTAAGAATTTTGTTTCTAACTATGCCATAAGCGATGAGGTCATTTGTTAAGTTCCATGGTGGTTTTGTTCAGTAATTGTCTATGAGTTATTAAACTAATTAATAACATAGGTATATAGATAAGTTCTGGTGAATGGCCACTAGTCCAAAAAAGGTATCGAAGGAAAGCCCTTTTCGTGAGAAAGTTAAACACGGACGTGGCAGGTTGTGAACTGGTTCACAAATTTCACTTTAGGTCGTTGGAGCTTCAAATGGGATTACGCGTTGTGGATTATTCACGACTTTTACTTTTTAGTTTAGTTAGCATCATTAGCCTTTTTAACTACGTACAAAGTAACTGTATCAGTAAAGAGGTCCCATAACACTTACGAGACACGTTTAGTGTCATCATTTATTCAGCGTTCGTCGTCACCGACGCCGGCGAACAGAATTGGGGCGAGCCTACGTTCACTAAAACGATGTCCAGTTTCATTAGAACTCCTACACTTCCCTTAAAACACTAGCATGTAGATCATAGAGGGGTTACTGCTCGTGTAATTAGAGCTCAATGTTTATTGGTCTGTAAAAAGATCTGACGTCTGACGCGATTTTTAATTTATTTGCCATTTATTTTTAAAGATTCATGGTTGTTTACATACATGGTTGCTAATTCCTGTTAGTTCGAATATCGGCTCGTGTTCAGTGACGCTCGTAGTTATTAATCATTCACAGTTAACTGGTTCATTATATATAATGTCTTCCTGTGGCGTTATATTACATTAACAAAATAGTTTCCTTCAATATCATCTACCAATTAAATAAGCGATATAAAATGGTCAAATAATACTCCAAATTAATAACCAACATCGGTATTAAAGCGGATAATTCTTAAATTATTACTATTATTGATTTTATTATATCATTGAACAGTTATTGCAAAACAATTCTTATGTCAGTTGCGTCACGGCACATTTACGTAAAGTAGTTTCAATGTGCTGCGTTCGAATTATAATAGGATGACTAGTAAGTGGTAACTAGGTAAGTAGTTCTTAGTAATATAGTAAGGAAGCGGGTAGGGACTGTCTAAGAGTAAAATGAAGTTGTAGAAATATGAGGAAGCTTGATTATATTTTTATGTCCGATTCGCAACGCTTGGACGTGGAAATTGTGATTGATTACTTCAGCAAGTTGTTTAACCTTAGTTGTTATTACATACACTGGATTAATGCTGATATTCTATTTTTATATTGCTATAGAGGTGTTTACTAGTTTTCGGCGTATGAGTTTTATGTGTGTAAACAAAGGAAAGCTTTTCTGAATATTTCTAATCAATTTTTGATGAAGACTTTTGGGCAGTAGTATCGTTTTTCGCTAAAATAATGTCTTGTGTCATTTAAGGACTATAGTTATCACATGGCTTATGTTAATACACGCACACAAATATAAACAATAACTAGAAAACTGTTGACAGAAAATTATCATACTTAATTATTTTTCTAACGCAAACGAAACCTAATTTTTTTGCCCGAATCACTGCGCGTGCGACTTACAGTGTGTTTATGTATAAAATATGATAATTTGATTACCAACCAACAGTAATAATATAAAATGAAGATCACAACGTGTGATTACAGGTTATTTGTGTTACCAAACAATTGGTTGCCTCAATATTATGCACGGTGGAAAAAATGGAAGACTGAAGCCTTGTGAGTTTTAATGTTCAACATTCTCTTTGAGGTTAGTGTAGTGAATTGAATATTTGTATTGAAAAAAATATTGAAAAATGGTCGATAGGCTGTAAGTAGAGTTTCAAACCTCGGTGTGTCGGTTCGTCCCGTGCATTCCACAACTCGCTCACCCACAGCTCACGGACCGGTCTTGAGCATTGTACCAAACGTGGTACGCGGCCAGTTTACGTCGTCTGCAGACTTCTACACGTGTCCGACCGCCCAGTGGTATTTCGCCGTGGTGGGGTTATAAGAACCGAGGTGCGGTCTCAAGGTGAATCGCCAGGTCAACACACGCTCGTTACCAACGAACGCCTAGACCAAACACTGCCCCGTGACCTAACTATAAATATATGAATGGTTACAATGAATTTTTATTCTGACTTTCTATTGGTGCATTTGTTGATGATTGTTTGTTCGTCTCGCATGCTCATCACGTCGTGGTTGAACAAATACATTATTTTTATTAGTTACAAAATGCTTTTAGTGTTTCTAATGCAGCAAACGCAATTGTTGAAGAATGTCGCTTAGTGTACAAAGAATTTTTGCGGTTTTCGAAAGCATATAGACAGAAAAACAGTATCGGTGATAGCAAAATCATTTCCATTATTCTAAAACTAGGTAAAAGCAATAAAAATACTGGCTAACCTTGAAAATAATAACAGCATTACAAATTCTCGTTCATTTAATATGAAATAATTTTAATGGGTAGATAGATACCTACCTCTATAT